TGTCTCTGTTACAAACATTGTGTGGTGTCTCTGTTACAAACATTGTGTGGTGTCTCTGTTACAAACATTGTGGTGTCGCTGTTACAAACATTGTGTGGTGTCTCTATTACAAACATTGTGTGGTGTCTCTGTTACAAACATTGTGTGGTGTCTCTGTTACAAACATTGTGTGGTGTCTCTGTTACAAACATTGTGTGCTGTTTCTGTTGCACGCATTGTGTGCTGTCTCTGTTACATACATCATGTGCTGTCTCTGTTAAATACATCATGTGCTGTCTCTGTTACAAACAATGTGTGCTGTTTCTGTTACAAACATCATGTGCTGTCTCTGTTAAATACATCATGTGCTGTCTCTGTTAAATACATCATGTGCTGTCTCTGTTAAATACATCATGTGCTGTCTCTGTTACAAACATTGTGTGCTGTCTCTGTTACATACATCATGTGCTGTCTCCGTTACATACATCATGTGGTGTCTCTGTTACAAACATTGTGTGCTGTCTCTGTTACAAACATTGTGTGCTGTCTCTGTTACAAACATCGTGAGGTGTCTCTGTTACAAACAATGTCACACTTTCAAATGCTCAAAAACGGAGGAATATATTCCCCAATTCAATACTAATTATGCTTTATTTTTCCAATTCATAAAGAAACAGGCTGTTGTAAAATTTAGGTAACAAAAACACTGAATCATCCCCTATATTTGCTTATATACTAGCGGTAATGTTATATGACACATGGCTAGTCACCAACTATAATCTGTACTGGTCGCTGGTCTTCACAAGTTACTATATATGACTGTTGATAAATAGACTGAACAGGATTAATATTGACATACAAAGTACATTGTATATTAACCTGTATTCGTTGAGATAATAAAGTGTAAATATTTTCTTTCTTCACCAGTGATCAGTTCAACCTAGTTTAGCTATCAGTTGGTGCTGATCGTTGTCTTTTTGCACTGTGTATGTGGAGCTACTGATATTTGGTATAAAATGCCAGCACTGATAGAACGCCCAAAGATGACAAAGGCAATGTACCAGGCTCTGAAGCGTCACATCATCAAGGAAAGAGAGAAGAAGAAACAAGGTAGGAAACTATCCATTTAATCCTAGGTGATTTACATGGTAGGTTTATATACTGACAATGCAGATGGACATATAGGACGATATCAAGCTTCAGGTTAACACAACATAGTAGCATTTTTCTGCTATTTCATTTTAACCTTACAAAGTCAGTAGTGAAATGATAAATCTGGCTTGATGGTAATCAGATCATGACATAATATTGGAAAACTGTTGCAAACCACTGCTAAATGCTGGCTGTTAGGTGTTCTATTAATGTTAAACTCCAATGTGAAGGATACTTTAGCCGGCAGTGCTTTAGTAATACTGATTGTGATCTGTTGTATGGGCATACTTAATTGCAGAGCTTGAGCAAGATGCACAGATTGAAAGACAGAAGAAAGAACAAGAACAGAGAAGAAGAAAAGAACAGGAAGACAGTTTGACTTTGGAGCAGACAAAAGAACAGGTGATTAAAGGGGCTAGGGGTGTAACGGTTCATGGATGTATTGGATCGTAAGGGCGGCGATACAATATAT